CATTGCATGCAAATCGATTTAAACAAATTTTACATTTAACATCACTTTTTTATTTCCTCGCTTCTTCAGTGAAATAATTTTCGGTAATTTTACTGTCCAAACTGTTTCTTTACTATATCTTCGGATATCTCACCCAAAATTCTGCAATACTCATCAACAAGACTACAAATTAATTTCCGTTCCTTATTTTAATTCGATTACTTTATATTTTAAATTTCGAAATGTGAGAAGTATGTAGGATTAAAAAAAAATCTCATGGGAAAAAGTTTTTTCAATTCTCTGTTACCGAAAATTTTATGGTATTCGCATTTCAAAATCGGCAACAAAAAAGAAGACCGCATTTTATCTGTGGTCATTGATCGAATATTTATGGTTACTGATACAGAAACATTCATTAAGGAAAAATTAGAAAATTTATGTGTCTATGGCAGACGTCACTAATGATGATCCTTAAAATTTAAAGAAGTGCTGAATCAACAAGGATAATTTACAACCATCGGCAAAATCATTGAACTTTAGAAATAAAAATGCTTGCTAAAACAAGAGCCATGTCCAATTTTTACTATTGTAAATGCCATTTAATAATTTTTTTTATTTCTGCCTGAAATCAGTAAACATCATTTGTGAATGAAATTGCCAATGAACAGGTATAAAATTATATAATGTATGAAATACTGTTTATGTTTTTTGTTGCGACAGATTTTAAAACTATTTTTCAAAGTGTGAAATTATCACTTTTACTATGTCGAAAATATCATATTTCTTTAAGCAAAATGCACAAAAATCATAACGTAATCACCTAAATGACTATTGATTTGTGTAAAACAACCGTTAATTGATTAAAATAATATTAACAAAATTCAGAAATTCTTCGAAGTTGACGCGGAAGTGTTAAAATATTTTTTAAACTTAAAAAAAATTATGACCGAACGATCTAGATTCTGATATATTATTTAATCGATTTACGCAGGTATAATCGTATATAAATACTGAAAATGAAGCTCACAACCTTCCTTTGTAGGCTACTGGCAGCAATGTCATCAAAGTAGTGGTTCGTATCCCACTATAAAATGTTTTTCTAGTTTTGGATGCAATGGTTTGTTGCACAATCAATCGTTAAACATCTATTAGCTGCGAGTCATCCCTAGCGGATCTCTGGATTAGAATTGATTTTTTTTAAGTTTTTATGTTTAGCAATAATAATAAAACACTTTTTAAGATTTTCTATAATTTTAGCTGTTTCTAAATTCATTTGAAGTCCTTTTGTAATTGAAAATTCAATTCAACTTATCTATAGATAAAAATGTTGATTGATAGATAAACTTACTTCTTGATTTGTAGACGCATGCAAAGATCACGCAACATTGATAATTAAGGTAATCAATTTATAAAAAAGGATAAAAAAGGAATGATAATCAACGAAATCAATATATTTCGTTAAAGGTTTAATTTTACAATTTTTGACCTATAATTTTTTAATCTGCATTATTATAATATTTATAAATAAAAAAATAAAAATTAGACACATCAATGCAAGAATTAAAAAAAAAGAAAAAGAAAAATAAATACATGTAACACGTGCGCTGATCATGAACCGTAAAAGATACAAAATTATAGAAGACTTAGGAAATTTTCATGTATTGAAAGCAACATCACTTTAAAGGACTTCTCTGCCTCTTCACGATATGGCATCAACTATAATATTTGTAAAGAAAATAATAAAAAATAAATTAAACTCAGGACTTACCCAACATAACATATGGTGCAAAAAAGTTCTTCAATTTTTTCGGTTTTTTTTTTGTTTCTCATTTCCGCTAGTGCTCAAACGCTTCAAAGAAAATAATATTTTTTATTAAGGGGTTACTCTTTAAGTCAACTTTCTTTTTACTCTAGAACTTCCTCTACATCCTTTTGTACATTTTAAATTAATACAAGATATATTGCAAATTTTGTAAATTCACTTGTAAACTACTTTAAGATAAAAGAAGAATCGTAACCGAAAAGAAATATCTGTTTATAAGAATAGAGGAAATAACCCATTTCAGCTACATGAAGATATAATAATCAAAATAGTGTTAATAACTTACTATGTGTTGGATTCTTTGTCACTCTAATGTTTTTGTCGCAAAACTCAGGTTTGTCTTCTCTTCGAAAACATAAACGTAATAAGTAAACAGACCCTTAGCATGTTCTTTATCTATTCGGTACAGAAGCGTTAAATATACATATTTTTATTTGATTTAAAATATTAAAAACGGTCCAATTTAAATGAATTTTTTTTTTTTTTTGAGTTTTTGTTGCTGTTCCAATAGCCTTTCTTATTTAGCTCACACGAGAACTCGTTATCAAAAAAAAACTCTTTACCATTAAGAAATGGGTACGTTGTGATGATTCTGTATAGTTATACTTTTTGTTGAAAAATTCTTCAGAATTAGCGTGTCAGAAATTATGTGAAATCTTAATTCAAAATCGTTGATTGTAAGCATGATTCCTATTGTAAATTTTTTTTTTATTCTTTCATGAAAACTTTATCTTAAATGATTTTGGACTTATTAGACAATTTTGTTGCACACACAAAATAATCTTCAACATATTAAAGGATATTAAAATTTTTCAAGACAAAACACGGCATCATAAAATTGTGTCGAAAATAAACAACACGGGTGGATTTTGTTGGTTTGAATTAATTTTATATGCTTCATAACTATTTCCGATTTTTTTCTTTAGTTTTTCAACTGCGCTTTAACATGTGTTAAAGCACAGATGGGGCATAGAGAGCAAGCAATTGTAACATTTGGGATAACCTTCTTGTTACTCTTCTTCTTATTTTTAATTTTATTTTTATTTTATTATATTTATTAAGGATATAAAGAATGATTAAGTCCCAAGCATGATGCGTCATTTTTTTTAATTTTTTTTTTGCAGTTTTAGATTAATTTCTTCTGTATCTTGTTTTCAGTTCGCCACATATGGTAAGATGTATGAACGCGTGTTGTATATTATACTATGTAGCAAGCATCTTTATCAATATATTTATGTTGAACTGCACATAAAACAACTTCTTTCTTTATAAATAGTTAAAAGCTTTTCAATATTGATACAATTTTGACGTTAAAAGATCTCAATTTGTATGTAAATTATATCTGCAACCCTCTTTTGTGAGTTTGACTCATTATATAGAGTGTTGTCAATATTACAAGGATTCGCACAATGATCACGTCATTACAAAAACACGCGACACACTAATGTGTGTCAAAAGTGTGTCGCCAACAAAAAAAGTTTGGAATCTAACGCAAATATTTTTGCATATATTATAAATATAGTTAAAATTCGGATGTATGCAGCATCAAATCTAAATTATGTATCTTTGTAATTGTTTTCATGGAAAAATCATGAGTTTCATAATTTTGAAATTAGAAATACTTGTGAATTTCTTAGGAAAACATTTTTCGCCTACATTGGAAGGAGAATCTGCCAAAAGAATCTCTCATAAAAAGAATAAAACTAAAAAATTCATTCATTGTCATCATTATTGAAAAGGGATTCAGTGGGCGTTTTGTTTGACTTTAAGGACTCTTCAATCGTGAGAAGAAAATTATCTTTTTGATAATATCTATCTCAAGAGGACGTAAAATTATTACAGAACAATACAGAAAAGATTTCAGTAGTTAAAGATGAATAAAGGAAAAGAAAGGAGCAGGAAATAAATTTCATTGTGTTGATAAATTATATGGTTAATTTTGGGGACAACACAAAAGAGAAAAAAAGTTGATGATGATGAAGATGGAGAGTAAAAGTAGAAGAAAACCACAAAATTTTTATATTAATTCTTTTCTGTCTAAATGATTAGAACCTTGACTTTTACTCCTATTTTTTTTTATTTTTTTATTTTCAAAATTAATTTTATCAAATTTCATTTCCTCATGTTTTATGAGAGCTTCCGATTTTTGAACAACTTACATCTACCAATTTTTATCTTTTTGCAAAGATGTTCTCATAAAAGAATTAAAACCCATATTTTTAGCACGAAACTTGAGAACATAAATAAATGGAACATTTTCATAGTCATTAATTTTATATATCAGTATATAAAATTTGAATTTTTGAACAATAGGCAATAGAATTAAGACGTGCACCTTGCATAAAAATATATGTGCATTATAAAGTAAATGAGGTGAATAAAATATAAAACTGATGAACAATGAATAATGAAAATGACAAATGCGATCAGTAGCATAAAGTAAGAAGGTGATTTTATATTCATAAAAGTCACCAGTCGTCGACTGGTTCATTGATCAAACGTATGAAATGCGAAACTATTTAGATTAAAGAGTAATTATAATACCTACATGTTTAAAACATGTGTAGATAGACCACCGTGAAAATGAGCATTATAGAAAATTTCAATTACCTATAATCGTCATCACATTATCGTTATTTTTGATTATTGTATCTCTTATTTATGAAATACTATTTTCTATCTTAGATATATCCTTTATCCACTATTTTGAGTTAAAATCGGCTTTTATTAAAATTCTTTTAAGGATTCAGTCAGGTAGTGTTGAACAGTTTAAAAAAAAATCAAATATTTATAAATCACCTATTCTTTTTATTCTGAGGCATAAGGATTTTTTTATATTTCATTCGAACTAATTTTAATTGATTATGATAATATAGTAATTTAATTTTGAAATAAGTAATAAATAGTAATTTTGAGCATAACGATTGATGACCATATTTTTGTGCTTATTTTGATCCGTTTAAAGCTGAACTGCATCTAATATGCAAGAATAATGAAACTTTAAAAAAACTGACTTTCGTTTTGATTCCTTTAGATTGTTTTTATCCAAATGTTTGAATAAGGAATAGCAATTAATACTCTTCTGACCTAAAACTTGTTGACTGAATTATGTAGATGTAAAAGCATACAAAACACCACAATTAAAAATATGTTCCGTCCGTATTTAGAAGCGCTACTGATGTCTTTAATAGAGTATGCATTAACTTGTAAATTTTGTTTATTCATTCATATAGGTATCGTTGTAAATAGTTCGATTTAAAACTTTAATTCAATGATATCTGCAAAAACTCAAGAACAAGTTCTAAAATTGATTCAAGAAAAGGAGAGAATTGAAAAGGAAATCCAAAATCATGGAGTTGCTCTTAAAAATGTAAATTTTGATGGTCTTTAAAAATTATAATTCAATAAAACTGTTCGTAAAAACTTTATTTTAGAATAATATTGGATTTAATGAGCCATTAGTAGATAGTGAAGGGTTTCCTAGAAATGATATTGACGTTAGGTCTGTACGATTGGCACGTACACAAATAGTATGCCTTCAAAATGACTTGAAAGACATAACTAAAGCTATTGAGGAAGGTCTGGCGAAATATTTTGTAGAAAAAAAAGACATGCCAAGTTCATCATCTGTCCCATCTCTTTCGAACATATCATTAGAAAGCAAATCAGAAGTTTTGAAAGATGTAGAATTAAAGCCATTCTTGATAGTGAGCATGGTAAGTGAAAATTCTCCTGGATCAATTGTAGGCTTACAGATGAATGATCGAATTTTGACATTTGGAAGTATCAATTGTTACAATTTCAAAGATCTAAATCAAATCGGAGAATTAGTTAACAACAGCAAGAATCACCATATAAAAATTAAGTTAAGGAGAAATGAAATTGATTTGGAGCTAATATTGACACCAAAGATATGGAATGGTCAAGGTCTTTTAGGATTCAAAATTAATGCAATCCCTATGACTAATTGAAATCATGTTTATTATTTTAATAAAAGTCAAATTCTATAATCTTTACATTTAAGATTTTTGTAATAAAATGTTGCATCTCATTTATTGAAACGAAAAGTGCTGAATAGGTAAAATTTTCTGATGTTAGTATCAAAAAAAAAAATAAGATTAATATGAATTCCCATAACTTCCATGTTGATAGTTTCCATAGCTTGATGAATTATAGTAGCTTCCACTCCATTGATTATAATCATAATTGTAATTTCCACTCCATTGATTGGATTGTGGATACGAAGTGTTGGAATAACTCTGATAATTAACTGATGAATTATATGCTGGATTATTGACTAATGTGCTCGAATCTTTAGACTTTTTCGACACTTCATGGTCACTGTAATTAAAAAGGAACAAAAAAAAATTGTTAAACCATAAAAAAAACCTTAAAATATTTTTATTAATTACCTGGACTTTTTCTTGTTTTCCTTCGAATGTTTCTCCATTAAGTTTTGCAAAGCCTTTTGGGATTCTTGTAGTTGTCTTATGCAACTTCCAAAATCTTCCAAAAATTCGACTTTTCTTTGCGCAAACAAAAGCTTTTGATCAATATCTAAATTGTCCTGCTGCATAAACCTATCTAATATTTCCAAAACTTCCTTTTCGTCAACATTATCCCTTTGCAGTGCTAAATCTATTATCTGAAGTGCTAATCGTGTATTTGTTGTATCTTTTTCAAGCGCATTCTTCAATACATCCATAGCTCTGTCATATTCGTGCTTTACTTTATTCAGAAAACGTGCAAACTTTATAGCAAGCGAAGAAGAGATATTCTTATTTTTAGCATTTGATAAATATTGATCATATAATTTTGTGCACAATTCAATATTACCCCGACGACGCTCCAAATTGATTCTACGATAAGCTATTTGTAACAAATTTGGATTCTTTTTGTCAAGATTTTCTAAAATTTTTGATGCTTTATCAATATTGTTACAAGACTCCTCAAATGCAGACCACATTAAATGCAAGCTTGGCTTATCCCGATGGTGAATGCAACATGCTCGTTCAAAAACATCACGTGTTCGCTCTTCGAAATCGGCATCATCTTTATTTTCCTCTAAATAATGTATTAGCTTGATCCAGAACTCTTCATATAGAGCACAAGCAATCAAGCATCTTTCGAAAAGAACCAGAGTTCTTTTCTTGTCTTTTTGCTCAATTTCAAAATCAAGATATTCCTTCCAATTTTTTAATTGTATTTTCTCAAGTTGTTTTACATGAAAATATGGTCTTTTAATTCCTTCTTCAAATGCCCAACGCTTATTGATCATTTCTACATTCAACTTGTTAATTTTTTTGCGCTTATTTATGATTAGTTTTCTGATACTATCTGCTTCTTCCTCGTTTCTGACATGATCATCAGCTAGATTGTTTTAAAAGTAACGATTTCGTTTTCCAGATCTTTTCATTAAGTTAAAAAAAATAAATTACCTTCATCCAAACCAGGAGGGGCTTCATCATCACCTTTTTCATTGCTGCATTTGCGAACATCTTCACGATATTTTTTAAACTCCTCAACGCTAAGAAGTTTTTGAACAGGATTATTATTTACCAGTTCGCGGAAACTAAGACATAAAAAAAAACAGAAAAATTAAATTGAGAATGATGTTTTGTTACTTTATTCCTACTTATCCATGTGTGTTTTGTATCCTTGTGTTGGAGTTCCAAGTAATCGATCATAGATATCAACTACTCCAAGAAGATTCTTTCCTTCCAATTCCCACCGTATAAAACCCTCCCAAAGCTAAAAGAAATGTTTGAGATGAATTTATTTTCAATAGGTTTCGAATCTACAACACAAACCTTGTCAGAACGAAACTCTAGCCCACAGATATTTAATGCTTTTTCAAATTGACTTCTTATTGTATCGCGATCATCTTGATTTTTCTGCTTTACATAAGTGAGATAATGTATCCATAAGTCAACTGATAAGGGAATAGCTTTCAAACCTCTTTCGAATACCTTTAGTGAGTTTTGTGTTAATGAGGATTTTAGAATGAAAATTAGAACAAAAATAAAAAAAATTAAAATATTCAACAAATTAGTTTAGTTTAAACTTATATAATGTCATACAGAACAAATAAAATATATTTAAAAATTTCATAATTGCATGTTTCTCAAAAATCCCTCACCTTAATCGCCAATGATTTTTAAAGCAAATTACATCTTATATGTTTAATCTTATTTCCTAAATACATTATTTTATTCACTTAAACATGTGCCTTCATTTACTTTTTCTTTTTTATGTTAAATGCAAATAATAATCTCAAATTTTATTTTATACTTACGCTTTAAAAAAATATGGATATAAAAAGACATTAAACACCTCAATTATGGCAAATAGATCTTAATTTTAACTAATGTGTTTGTAGAACTACATGAAATTTCACAATTTTTAATAATGTCATGGAACAACCATTCAATTAAATTTGGTAATAAGTTTAAAGAATTGATTATAACTTTGAAAAATTTGGCAACTCTCTTAAATATTAAGATAATTTTTCCCGTAAAATTTGAAATTAATCACAATTCTTTTGTTCAATTAATTAGAGTCAACTTTCTATTTGATGGTTTTTTAATCTTCATAAATATTCAGAGGAATAATAATATCACAATACGTTTTTAAAAACAAAACAATTTATCTTAAACTTAAATTTTAAGGAAATTTGTTTTTTAAAAAATTATATTATAATAAAATATCACAATACGTTTTCATAAGTTTCATATAATAAATTTTTTTAACTGTTTCAATGAGTTATAAAATGTGCGACGAAAGATGGATGGAAATTATATCCATAGTTTCTGGTAAATTGTGATTATGGCCGTGTCTTCAACAACTGACAAAAAGATTTTTTTTTACTGTGACTCAACAGAGTTGTTTTTTATAATACTACCGAGCCTAATTTTTTACACTTCATTATAAATAAAAAGAATTGTATGAAATGTTTTATCGCGAGATATAAGATCCCCAGTAACCAGAAAATCAAAAAAGTAGTTTTAATAAGGCTTATCGCAAGCCCATATTTATAAAGACTAGTGTAAAACTTGCTTAAAACTAAACTTTTAACGGTCTGGTTGCTAGGAAATTTTGAATACTTATTCTATATATACATGCATATATGTTAATTACCTCTTCACATTTCTCCAGACTGCCTTTCTTTTTTTCGTAATCAGAGTACTTCCTCCAATAACTAAAAGTGTCGCAGAAAAACAATAAATAAATGACGTTTATGAATTTTTAAACAGTAAAACATACCCATAACAGTAGCAAAATCTAGTTAAGAACGTATCATAAGCTTCTCGTGCGGCCTCAACGTCATTTTCCGAATCTACATACTGCAATAAATAGGTCCAAGCATTGAAGTCTTCAGGGTCTGCATGAACACTCTTCCAATATTTCTCCAAATCAGGTAATTTCGGTTTTTTCGCTAATAGAAATAAATCAATAAAAATTAACTGTCAGTTATTTGAAGGATAAAAAAATTACATCATACCTTCGTTTTCCTTTTTTGTCTTTTTCTCGGGTGATTCATTTTCATCAGCTGTAGGATCGCAAGGATCATAATCTTCAAGCTTTCGTTTCCCGTCTTTTTTAACACTATTTGGAGTGTTGGATGAAGGAAGTTCCTCTTCGGATACAACTTCAGTGTCAGCAGGTAATTCGGCCATTTTTGGTCCTGGCAATTCTTCATCAGACACTTCTTCAGCATCCTGGACTTTGGGTTTTGTTGGAATTGGCAATTCGTCTTCAGAAATATTTTCAGCATCTAAATCAGTTGCTTGTTCATCCTTTTGTTTCAAATCTTCACTTTGTGCCATTGTATCTTCTGCTTCTGTTTTTGTATCCAATGATAAATTATCATCTTTCATCTCATAATCATCACTCAAAGTATTCTGTGCATTACTATCAAGGTTTATTTCTTCATTGATAATTGCAAGCTTTTCATCCATTGTTGATGGGACACTATTAGCATTTTCTTCAGCTAAATCTGCCATAAATAGATCTTGATTTGCCGACTCAAGTGTTTCACTTTTCTCATCTATTGGATTTTCAAAAGTTAAGTTGTCATAAAATCCAAGATTGGAACTTTCTGTGTCATCAGCTGTTACTTCTGGTTGACTTTCAAAATCAAGAATACCGACAACTTTAGCGCACTGATTTTCTACAGTTTCTGTTTCAGTTACTTCATTTTCAACTTCTATGTTTGTTTCCCTTTCATCTTCCTCCATATTCTGGAAAATTATATTATTAAAATATATCCAAAATGATATGTACAGCGCAAAGGGTCTTAATTTAATCAGCTGGCCCTTGCCAAATACATCTTTTTAGACAAATAGAATGAATCTACTTTAAAAATCAGAAGTTGCGGATAAACATCAACGCTACTTTATGCATTTTGTAACATCATCAATTTTTATCTTACAGAAAATCTGTGTTTTATTAAACTAATTTACCTGTTTTCGAACTTTTCTTGTATTTCTCGTAGTCACTGGCAGTTCCTGAACATCTACCTCCGTTTTCGCCTTTGCTGATCTGGTTCTTCTGCCTTTTCAACGAAAATTTTACAAAATTTTTTTTCATAAGTTTTTGTTTTATATATCAAATAATAAATATAGAACCACAAAAGGTAGGATTATTTTGATGTGTATTAATGTTGATGAATATTAAAAAACAATTTTAATAAATAACCAGGTGCACTAACCTTCACTCATTTTCAAAAGTTTTGTTTGGTCTCTAAGTTTTTATTTGGGGTGCACAAATATACTTATAGACATTAATTGACGCCATCTAGTGGCTATTTTGAAACATTCGTCTAACTTTAATTTTCGAATAACAATTTTTTTTTGCTGGACAGTAAATCAAGTTTAATAGTAAAAGAGAAATTTATAATTTAAAAAAAAAATCACTTTTGCATGTTTCCAAACTTTAGGAAAGTGATTGAGTTTCAGACACGAATTGATGATGAATTTCCAGTATTCGAAACCTTTTCAGGAAGATTTTTGATGAGTATGTTGTTGACTTCATCTAGTCCCGGAGCTTTTGGATTTTTCAGATTTCTTATGATGCTCACGATTTCGTTTACATCTGTTAATTCTGGATTCTCATCATTGTCTTGTTCCAATGCTTCTTTGACTGTGTTGTTTACTTCCTGTGTATGTTGTGGATCGTTTTGTTCCAGAGGATTTGAGTTCCTAGCTTCCATGATGAGTTCAGAGAGAATCTTAATGTGATTCTCGATCTCATCTGCTGTATTGCAAGAATTTTCTCCAATGTTGTCTCTATTGCGGCGTGAAATTTGTGCTTTGAACTTTTTATATTCACACCGTTTTCACGCGTGAATCAATTGGTTTTGTTCAGATTGAAAAATCAGTTTTTTGAATTTTGTGAGGATATGGAGCAAGATAGCTTAAAATGTTCAGACATGAAAAGTTTGTGCCTGAAATTTTACATCATTTTCAAAAAACAGATTTCAAAATGGTTATGGCATTGCTGAGAAAATCGCAAAATACGCTTTCTGTAAGCAAACAAGCAAGTTAATCAGCAAGAAATCTCAATAACGAGACATTGTAGAGACTTCTAGTTTTTACATTTGATCCGTGCTGCTCTATAGAAGAGCTGTATTGTTTTTAGGCAAGGTAGGAACAGCCGTTGCTTCAATAAAAGCAAAAAACTTTAATTTCTTACGAATTTTTCAAATTAAAAGTTCACTGTGATTTTTTTTAAATTAAACTTTGGATGAAAAAAATTTTTTTGAGCAAAGAACCAAGCAGGAAATACAATTTCAATTTTGGACTAGGGGCGACCCTAGTCAAAATCAATTTTCTCACTTTTTTCTTCGATGGTTTACCCAAATGGATTGAAACTTTGCATAAATATTCTAGTGCTTAAAACAAATACAAATAAAACATCCTAAAATGTTTTTGAGCAAAGAACCAAGTAGGAAATACAATTTCAATTTTGGATAAAGGGGCGACCCTAGTCAAAATCAATTTTGTCACTTTTTTCTTCGAGGGTTTATCCAAATGGATTGAAACTTTGCATAAATATTCTACTGCTTAAAACAAATACAAATAAAACATCTTAAAATGTTTTTGAGCAAAGAACCAAGTAGGAAATACAATTTCAATTTTGGATAAAGGGGCGACCCTAGTCAAAATCAATTTTGTCACTTTTTTCTTCGAGGGTTTATCCAAATGGATTGAAACTTTGCATAAATATTCTACTGCTTAAAACAAATACAAATAAAACATCTTAAAATGTTTTTGAGCAAAGAACCAAGTAGGAAATACAATTTCAATTTTGGATAAAGGGGCGACCCTAGTCAAAATCAATTTTGTCACTTTTTTCTTCGAGGGTTTATCCAAATGGATTGAAACTTTGCATAAATATTCTACTGCTTAAAACAAATACAAATAAAACATCTTAAAAATTTTTTGAGCAAAGAACCAAGTAGGAAATACATTTTCAATTTTGGACTAGGGGCGACCCTAGTCAAAATCAATTTTGTCACTTTTTTCTTCGAGGGTTTATCCAAATGGATTGAAACTTTGCATAAATATTCTAGTGCTTAAAACAAATGCAAATAAAACATCCTAAATTTTTTTTGAGCAAAGAACCAAGAAAGAAATACATTTTCAATTTTGGACTAGGGGCGACCCTAGTCAAAATCAATTTTGTCACTTTTTTCTTCGAGGGTTTATTCAAACGGATTGAAACTTTGCATAAATATTCTAGTGCTTAGAACAAATACAAATAAAACATCTTAAAAATTTTTTGAGCAAAGAACCAAGTAGGAAATACAATTTTAATTTTGGACTAGGGGCAACCCTAGTCAAAATCAATTTTGGCACTTTTTTCTTCGAGGGTTTATCCAAATAGATTAAAACTTTGCATAAATATTCTAGTGCTTAAAACAAATACAAATAAAACATCCCAAAATTTTTGTTGAGCAAAGAACCAAGTAGGAAATACATTTTCAATTTTGGACTAGGGGCGACCCTAGTCAAAATCAATTTTGTCACTTTTTTCTTCGAGGGTTTATCCAAATGGATTGAAACTTTGCATAAATATTTTTGTGCTCAAAACAAATACAAATAAAACATCCTAAAATTTTTTTTGAGCAAAGAACCAAGGAGAAATACATTTTCAATTTTGGACTAGGGGCGAACTTAGTCAAAATCAATTTTTTCACTTTTTTCTTCGAGGGTTTATCCAAATGGATTGAAACTTTGCGTAAATATTCTAGTGCCTATACAAATACAAATAAAACATCCTAAAATTTTTTGAGCAAAGAACCAAGGAGAAATAAATTTTCAATTTTGGACTAGGGGCGACCCTAGTCAAAATCAATTTTGTCACTTTTTTCTTCGAGGGTTTATTCAAATGGATTGAAACTTTGCATAAATATTCTAATGCTTAAAACAAATACAAATAAAACATCCCAAAATTTTTGTTGAGCAAAGAACCAAGTAGGAAATACATTTTCAATTTTGGACTAGGGGCGACCCTAGTCAAAATCAATTTTGTCACTTTTTTCTTCGAGGGTTTATCCAAATGGATTGAAACTTTGCATAAATATTTTTGTGCTCAAAACAAATACAAATAAAACATCCTAAAATTTTTTTGAGCAAAGAACCAAGGAGAAATAAATTTTCAATTTTGGACTAGGGGCGACCCTAGTCAAAATCAATTTTGTCACTTTTTTCTTCGAGGGTTTATCCAAATGGATTGAAACTTTGCATAAATATTCTAGTGCTTAAAACAAATACAAATAAAACATCCTAAAATTTTTTGAGCAAAGAACCAAGGAGAAATAAATTTTCAATTTTGGACTAGGGGCGACCCTAGTCAAAATCAATTTTGTCACTTTTTTCTTCGTGGGTTTATCCAAATGGATTGAAACTTTGCATAAATATTCTAGTGCTTAAAACAAATGCAAATAAAACATCCTAAATTTTTTTTGAGCAAAGAACCAAGAAAGAAATACATTTTCAATTTTGGACTAGGGGCGACCCTAGTCAAAATCAATTTTGTCACTTTTTTCTTCGAGGGTTTATCCAAATGGATTGAAACTTTGCATAAATATTCTAGTGCTTAAAACAAATACAAATAAAACATCCTAAAATTTTTTGAGCAAAGAACCAAGGAGAAATAAATTTTCAATTTTGGACTAGGGGCGACCCTAGTCAAAATCAATTTTGTCACTTTTTTCTTCGAGGGTTTATTCAAATGGATTGAAACTTTGCATAAATATTCTAGTGCTTAGAACAAATACAAATAAAACATCTTAAAAATTTTTTGAGCAAAGAACCAAGTAGGAAATACAATTTTAATTTTGGACTAGGGGCGACCCTAGTCAAAATCAATTTTGTCACTTTTTTCTTCGAGGGTTTATCCAAATGGATTGAAACTTTGCATAAATATTCTAATGCTTAAAACAAATACAAATAAAACATCCCAAAATTTTTGTTGAGCAAAGAACCAAGTAGGAAATACATTTTCAATTTTGGACTAGGGGCGACCCTAGTCAAAATCAATTTTGTCACTTTTTTCTTCGAGGGTTTATCCAAATGGATTGAAACTTTGCATAAATATTTTTGTGCTCAAAACAAATACAAATAAAACATCCTAAAATTTTTTTGAGCAAAGAACCAAGGAGAAATACATTTTCAATTTTGGACTAGGGGCGAACTTAGTCAAAATCAATTTTGTCACTTTTTTCTTCGAGGGTTTATCCAAATGGATTGAAACTTTGCATAAATATTCTAGTGCCTATACAAATACAAATAAAACATCCTAAAATTTTTTGAGCAAAGAACCAAGGAGAAATAAATTTTCAATTTTGTCACTTTTTTCTTCGAGGGTTTATCCAAATGGATTGAAACTTTGCATAAATATTCTAGTGCTTAAAACAAATGCAAATAAAACATCCAAAAATTTTTTTGAGCAAAGAACCAAGGAGAAATACATTTTCAATTTTGGACTAGGGGCGAACTTAGTCAAAATCAATTTTGTCACTTTTTTCTTCGAGGGTTTATCCAAATGAATTGAAACTTTGCATAAATATTCTAGTGCTTAAAACAAATACAAATAAAACATCCCAAAATTTTTGTTGAGCAAAGAACCAAGTAGGAAATACAATTTTAATTTTGGACTAGGGGCGACCCTAGTCAAAATCAATTTTGTCACTTTTTTCTTCGAGGGTTTATCCAAATGGATTGAAACTTTGCATAAATATTTTAGTGCTTAAAACAAATACAAATAAAACATCCCAAAATTTTTGTTGAGCAAAGAACCAAGTAGGAAATACATTTTCAATTTTGGACTAGGGGCGACCCTAGTCAAAATCAATTTTGTCACTTTTTTCTTCGAGGGTTTATCCAAATGGATTGAAACTTTGCATAAATATTCTAGTGCTTAAAACAAATGCAAATAAAACATCCTAAATTTTTTTTGAGCAAAGAACCAAGAAAGAAATACATTTTCAATTTTGAACTAGGGGCGACCCTAGTCAAAATCAATTTTCTCACTTTTTTCTTCGAGGGTTTATCCAAATGGATTGAAACTTTGCATAAATATTCTAGTGCTTAAAACAAATACAAATAAAGCATCCTAAAATTTTTTGAGCAAAGAACCAAGGAGAAATAAATTTTCAATTTTGGACTAGGGGCGACCCTAGTCAAAATCAATTTTGTCACTTTTTTCTTCGAGGGTTTATCCAAATGGATTGAAACTTTGCATAAATATTTTAGTGCTTAAAACAAATGCAAA